ATCTAAGAAACTGCCCTGTACTCTTGAAAAGGAAGGTATTTTAGTAACGCGTGCTGCTGGGGCTAATCTCTAGATGCGAAGTATGGACCGCATGGCTGGAAGCCATTCACAAACTACAGGCTGCATAAGCAACATGGAAAGGTGCGCATTGGGAATAACAGAAAAAAATTATACGACGAATAAATGGGTAATAATAATGATACAAACGGTAACTAGTCTGTAATGTCATTACATCCGTCAAGAGGAAGCTGCAAAAGTTGAAGTGATAATGGACGGGACATTGCACGAAGAACCGAGCATTGTTGGATCACAGAAATAGACTGGCTTCGTTTCATAAAGCCCACGTGGATGCCTGGATTAGTTTAAGAACTTCGTCTGATGAAGATGGACGAAAATGACTGAAAACAAGAACATGTGCCAAATTCTTGGAGAGGCTTTCATCCAGCAGCGGATAGGCAAAGGCTGATTATGACGATTATAAATTATTTATGCAAAATAAACGCTTTGATGATTTCGACGATGAAGAATTCCTTGAATGAATTCAAATTTTCTCTTTGACACTGCTGGACTGTATTTACAGTCATCTGAAACATTTTTAAGTTTTACAGATTAGGGGGAAAGCTGGAGTACGGCGCTGTTAAGGAAGCACAGAAAATGTTGAACCTATTTTTGAGGCATTCATGTTACGGAAGCGATTTAATTAATTAACTGAGTATGATTTTGGCCATAACAGGAGAAAAACAAAGTTATTGATTATATAAACCGACATTTTTATGTTCTTTAAGTAGTTTCGTTAGATACAAAAATTGAGGGAGAAGAAGGATTAAAAGCTAGTCACCCTTAGCTGTTTTACCGTAAGCAAATCAGTGAGTCGGTCTGTACAGGTAAACTGTAACTGTTCATCTGGCTGAAGAACTCAGTTTCAAAAGCAGTTAACGGCGAAATGAAAGGAATGCTGTTACCAGCTGTAGGCGCGCCTCCAAGGTTGGCCAGGCCTTCAATGAAATTCAGGATTCCAACCGCCGAGACGAAGTCTGCCGTTGGCAACAGTTCGGCCAAAGTCACGTACGGTAGAGCGGACGATGCCGCAATGGGGATACCGTGAACGACGTTAGTGGTACAGAAACCTTCATAGGACGGTAGCCACGGGACGGCCAGCAAAACCAGTGCTGAGACACAAGCGAAGACTCCGTAAAGGAGCAAGGTATTAACCCATTCGAAGTCGACCACGTAGCCGTAGAGGAGGACGCTGACTGTATTGACGATACCCAGGATCGAAAGCAGCACTGGGGCACTGTTACGCGAAATCGGCAGCTTTGTTGTATTGTAATCAGGGGTGTAGACGCAGAAAACATCGCAGCAGACGAACAGCAGGAAGTTGGCCAACATGAACGGCCAAATGCGACCCTTCGTCATGAGTCTCGCTTCTTTCCTGAAAAGTTCTGTGAATTTGCTCCATCTCGATAGTGGAGGTACTTCCTCATCGATGGGTCCTATTTGAGGACGCATCTGTTCGAACACCGCTGGAGAGAGGCTGAGTTTTCGGAAAATTGATGGAGACACGGCGCTTAATCGCCGCATTTTATGGCAGCCTCCCGCGCTGCTGTTGTATCCATTCCTTGGACCATTTACAAGTATGTGTTTCACGTCACAAGAACCAGGGGCTACAAATTTGATGTTGTTATCAGCATACAGATTCGATCCAGGTAATTGTCAATCAGTCGAATGCCAAACCACTGAATTACTTAATCTTCATCTTCATCTTCCG